ATATAGTAAGGCCCCCCCATAGTAATTCATCATCCCCCACATAGTAATTCATCCCCCATAGTAATTCATCCCCCATATAGTAATTCATCCCCCCACATAGTAATTCATCCCCCATATAGTAATTCATAATTCCCCCCATAGTAATTCATCCCCCATATAGTAATTCATCCCCCATATAGTAATACATCCCCCCATATAGTAATTCATCCCCCCCCATATAGTCCCCCATAGTAATTCATCCCCCATATAGTAATTCATCCCCCATAGTAATTCATCCCCCATAGTAATTCATCCCCCATATCGTAATTCATCCCCCCCCATAGTAATTCATCCCCCACATAGTAATTCATCCCCCATAGTAATTCATCCCCCATAGTAATACATCCCCCATATAGTAATTCATCCCCCACATAGTAATTCATCCCCCATAGTAATTCATCCCCCATATAGTAATTCATCCCCCATATTAAGTCCCCAAGTCCCCCCTGTGTCAATTCACTTACCTTTGCTCCGCGCGTTCCTCTCGCCGTGTTCCCGCGCCGTTCCGGTGTAGCATGAAAATCTGTCTCCTATGAGGATCTGTCCCCCTCGACGTATCTGCGCATGTGCCAGTTTCAGGCATTAGCAGCCGATCGGCGATCTCCGGCACATGCGCAGATACGTCGAGGGGGACAGATCCTCATAGGAGACAGATTTTCATGCTACACCAGTCTTCAGAGCGGACTGTGAGAGGAGCCTAGCGGGAGCCTAGCTCCGTGGGCCGGATTAAAAGGTCCGCCGGGCCGTATACGGCCCGCGGGTTGTAATTTTCCCATTGCTGATCTAGATCTAGCAAAATACGATCACTTACCATGGAGCATCTGAGATTAGCAGGTGATACTTTACTTCTTAGACCATTGGTGGTCAACTTACAAGGTATTAGGAGCTTCAACTGCTAGATTGCACATAATTTAATGTAATACTACAACACACTCTGAGACTGTAGACGTACTACAAGACATGGTCAGAGACTGTGGACATGCTTCAAGTGGAGTTGGGAACACTGAACTTCATTGCTGTTACAGCCTCTTTGGAGTTTATTTGCTTCCAACTTCCAATAAGGACAGCTGGGGTCCTAGGGATGCATAATCAGTACCAATGGGCTGCAGACTGGGCTCCAGGATGCCAGATGCTGGCCTTTCTAAATGTAAACATAGGTTAACCCCTTCCTGCCTCCTGTGCACACATATATGCAGTCTCACTGAAGTGGATCTTTTTCCGCGAGGCTGCATATATGCGAACAAAGAACCAGCAAACACAAATGCTCCTGCGCTTGGGGATGAACTCAATGTAGGCTACAATCACATTAAGAATGTCCTGGAGCATGCACACCTTGCTGCCCTCAAATGGACCGGGGGAATCCAAATATACTGAATGAGGAAAGAAAAAACAGAGGGCGCACAGGCCTAGTGCATTACCATAAAAAATGTTTAATAAAAAATAAAGTAGGTGCTGTACTCACAAATGACAACATAGTCAAGGCACGTCATAAAGAACAGCTGGGTCAACACCGCGCTGAGTAACAGTCCGCAATAGGGAGTGTAGACATCCAATAGGCTGACGCGTTTCGAGGACTTGCCTTTTCCTCAGAGCCCTCTTTTCTTTCCTCATTCTGCATATATGCGTACCAGTGTTTGTACTAGGAGAATGCTGCACAGTTCACTCCCCGCACAAAGACCGGGCTCTCTTCAATGACAGGGAATCGGCAATCCCAGTTCCTGATCACCTGATTGCAGTGATAGCCTCTGATTGGCTATAACAGTGACCAGTCACAGTGCAGCCTGCCCTCTGAATGGAGAGAAAGAAACTTTGTATCTTTCTCAACTTGCCAGGGGAGAAAAATGTAAACAAATGTGTTTAAAAAAACAAAAATAGCTAGATCAAGGTTTGATCTAGGTCAGTGTCACAGGGTTAGTGTCAGGGTCAAGGTAAGGGTCCCTGGCACTAACCCTGACAGGTAAAAAAAAAAAAAAAAAATTTTTTTTATTAGTATCAGTGTTTTAGACAGGATAAAAAAAAGCAAAATGCACATTGTTTCTGGGCCCTGTTACAGGTACATACAGCAAATAACATACACATATGTGGTATTGCTGCGATCGTCAAGAGCAGGACAATTAAGTTTTGGTTGTTGTTTGGTGGTAAGTTATGGTAATTTCAAGAAATACACAGCTATAGTGCATCCAGAAAGTATTCATAGCGCTTAACTTTTGCCACATTTTGTTATGTTACAGCTTTATTCCAAAATGGATTGAATTCATTTTTTTCCTCAACATTTTAAAAATAATACCCCATAATGACAGCATGAAAGAAGTTCATTTTGAAATCTTTGCAATTTATTAAAAATAAAAAAAAAAAATACATGTACATAAGTATTCACAGCCATTGCTCAATACTTTGTTGAAGCCACTTTTGCACCAATTACAGTCTTGAGTATGATGGTACAAGCTTGGCACACCTATTTTTGGACAATTTCTCCCATTCTTCATTGCAGTACCTCTCAAGCTCCATCAGGTCGGATGGGGAATGTCGGTGCACAGCCATTTTCAGATCTCTCCAGAGATGTTCAATCGGGTTCAAGCCTGGGCCACTCCAGGGCATTCACAGAGTTGGCCTGTAGCCACTCCTTTGTTATGTGGGCTGTGTGCTTAGGGTTGTTGTCCTGTTGAAAGATAAACCGTCACCCCAGTCTAAGGTCCAGAGTGCTTTGGAACAGTTTTTTATCAAGGATGTCTCTGTACATTGCTGCATTCATCTTTCCTTCGATCCTGACTAGTCTCCCAGTTCCTGCTGCTGAAAAACATCCCCACAGCATGATGCTGCCACCACCATGCTTCACTGTAGGGATGGTATTGGCCAGGTGGTGAGCGGTGCCTGGTTTCCTCCAGACATGACGTTTGGCATTCAGGCCAAAGAGTTCAATGTTTGTTTCATCAGACTAGAGTTTTGTTTCGCATGGTCTGAGAGTCCTTTAGGTGCCTTTTGGCAAACTTCAGGTGGGCTGCCATTTGCCTTTTACTGAGGAGTGTCTTCCGGCCACTCTACCATACAGGCCTGTTTAGTGGAGTGCTGGAGAGATGGTTGTTCTTCTGGAAGGTTCTACTCTCTCCACAGAGAAATGCTGGAGCTCTTTCAGAGTGATCATCAGGTACTTGGTTACCTCCCTGGCTAAGGCCCTTCTCTTTTTCGATTGCTCATTTTGGCTGGGCGGCCCGCTCTAGGAAGATTCCTGGTGGTTCCAAACTTCTTCCATTTACGGATGATGGAGGCCACTGTGCTCATTGGGACCTTCAATGCTGCAGAAATGTTTCTGTACCCTTCCCCAGATCTGTGCCTTGATACAATCCTGTCTCGGAGGTCTACGGACAATTCCTTGGACTTCATGGCTTGGTTTGTGCTCTGACATGCACTGTTAACTGTGGGACCTTATATAGTCAGGTTTATGCCTTTCCTAATCATGTCCAATCACCTGAATTTCCCGCAGGTGGACTCCAATCAAGTTGTGGCAACATCTCAAGGATGATCTGTGGGAACAGGATGCACCAGAGCTCAATTTTGAGTGTCATGGCAAAGGCTGTGAAAACGTATGTTCATGTGGTTTTTTTTTCGTTTTTTTTTTTTTATTCTTAATAAACTGCAAAGATTTCAAAATGAACTTATTTCATGTTGTCTTTATGGGGTATTGTTGGTAGAATGTTGAGGAAAAAAAATTAATTTAATCCATTTTGGAATAAGCCTGTAACATAACAAAATGTGGCAACAGTTAAGCACTGTGAACACTTTCTGGATACACTGTAAATAAAAAAAATATGATTTTTTTTTTTACTAATTTGGGCCAGCTTTCCTTTGATAATAAAAAAAGAATAAGGAGGTGTCTGTTATCTTTTACCATCAAAAGAAAGCCCCATTTGTCCAGAAAAAACAAGGTATATTCCACCTGGATTCTCAAAGTAGCTGCAATGATACATTTTTACTAACAAATGTCAAAGCTGCAAAATTGTGTTTAGCCATTAAGATTTGTTTTACCCTTTTAGCCACAAAGGGCTTAAAAAAAAAAAAAGAATTGTTAAAAAAAAGTAAAGTTTAGTTATTTAATATTTATCTCTCCTGCACACAGACCTGGGGGTTCTTCTATTATACAGATGACATATTTTATTGAGTTGTCCAACTAATGAATGATTTGATTGCCTTTTCAGATCACGAAGAGCGAGGTTTTGTCAGTACACAAGATACAAGCAATGAAGGATGAAACAAAAGAAAACTAGGTTAATAAAGCTATAAAAGCCCAAATTCAAGGAGAACAAACACCCCCTGGTGTAGGAGCTTTTTTGATTGAAGGTTAATAAAGCTGTCCACTATTTGATTTGCATCGCCATTGAGGTGAACACATATTTTTTTTTTTTTCTCAACGGGTTTTGAAAATGTGCCACTTTTAGGGGTTTCTTAAAGCTGAATTCCAGGTGCGCACAGTCTTCATTCTGATCTGTGCACCCACTCCTACCCACATATCAAATTCTGACATGCAGTGGTATCTGTGCAGCCACTATGCCTGCATCCTTCTCTGAATGCTGTCTGCATGCAGCCCAGGCCAGATGCTGGCACAATAGTAGAGGGGGCCTGCAGATGGAGCCAAAGTATGTATATTCTATACCTGCAAAATCCCTGCGCAAGTGGAACATCACTGTAATAGCCTCTGCTACTACAGTGACCCTCACTGTCTTTAGGATCCCATGCCGAGCAGCTGCCCTACTGCATAGTGAACACATGGGGTTGCTGTCAGGGCTCCCAGCTGTGACCAGAGGTGTGTGACTGACGCAGGGAAACGCAGACTTCAGATATGTGATAAACAATATAATTTATTAACACTAACCATACACACATAAACGCAGTGCAATACTAAAACCCCCAGGTGGAGCGACAGGTCTCGGGCCCTCAGGCGGAGCGGCGGGCGCCGGACCCCCAGGTGGAGCGACAGGTCTCGGGCCCTCAGGCGGAGTGGCGGGCGCCGGACCCCCAGGTGGAGCGACAGGTCTCGGGCCCTCAGACGGAGCGGCGGGCACCGGACCCCCAGGCGGAGCGACAGGTCTCGGGCCCTCAGGCGGAGCGGCGGGCGCCGGACCCCCAGGCGGAGCGACAGGTCTCGGGCCCTCAGGCGGAGCGACAGGTCTCGGGCCCCCAGGCGGGGCGGCAGGCGCCGGACCCCCAGGCGGAGCGGCGGGCGCCGGACCCCCAGGCGGAGCGACAGGTCTCGGGCCCCCAGGCGAAGCGGCGGGCACCGAGTCACCAGGCAAGGCAGTGGGCTCCGAGTCAAGACCGCGGCATGACCGCGGGCACTGGGTCAGACATTGGATCGTCTGACTGGACAGCGGGCATCGGGTCACCAGGCATCAAGTCATTTGGCTCGACAAGGCAGTGGGCTCCGAGTCAACAGGCACGACAGTGGGCACCGGGTCATCAGGTACCGGATTGTCTGGCTCGACAGTGGGCATCGGGTCACCTGGTATGACAGCGGGCACTGGGTCACCAGGCATCAGGTCATTTGGCTCGACAGCGGGCACCGCGTCATCTGGCAAGGCAGTGGGCTCCGAGTCAACTGGTATGACCGCGGGCACTGGGTCAGACATTGGATCGTCTGACAGGACAGCGGGCATCGGGTCACCAGGCATCAGGTCATTTGGCTCGACAGCGGGCACCGCGTCATCTGGCAAGGCAGTGGGCTCCGAGTCAACAGGCACGACAGTGGGCACCGAGTCACCAGGCATTGGATCGTCTGGCTCGACAGCGGGCATCGGGTCACCAGGTATGACAGCGGGCCCTGGGTCACCAGGCATCAGGTCATTTGGCTCGCCAGCGGGCACCGCGTCATCTGGCAAGGCAGTGGGCACCGAGTCACCAGGTACGACAGCGGGCTCTGAGTCAATTGGCACGATAGCGGGCACCGGATCAGGTACCGGATCATCTGGATCAACAGCGGGCATCGAGTCAACTGGTCTAATAGGATCGTCAGGCTGGATCAGTTCATCATGCTGGGTAGAGGCATCAGGCTGAATGCCGGCGTCCAGCTGAGTAGAGGCTTCAGGCTGAGTAGAGGCTTCAGGCTGAGTAGAGGCATCAGGCCGAGTAGAGGCATCAGGCCGAGTAGAGGCTCCAGGCCGAGTAGAGGCTCCAGGCCGAGTAGAGGAATCAGGCTGAGTAGAGGCTTCAGGCCGAGTAGAGGCTTCAGGCCGAGTAGAGGCTTCAGGCCGAGTAGAGGCATCAGGCAGAAGAGAGGCATCAGGCTGCGTACAGGCATCAGGCTGAGTACAGGCATCAGGCTGAGTAGAGGATTCAGGCTGAACCACGGAAGGCAGGTTCACCGGTTTGGATACTGGCAGGATGGTATTGGTTGGAAAGAATTTTCGCTTTTTTCTGGTTTTAACTACTGGAGCACTGCAAGTAAACGCAGGTCTGCAAACGAATGGAGCAGCTGGAGACAGAGAAGAACTGGAGGATGGAACAGGAGAGGGAGCAGTTGCTACAGAGGGCTTTTTTACAGGGTTAAAGGCAGGATAGGTGCAGCGAGTGGGAACAGGGTACTGACATGCGGTAGATAGCCAAGTATACTGGGCTGTAACTGGGGGAGTTGTTGGGAATACAGGAGTAGAGCTTTGAGGAGATAGATTAGAAGCAGGACTGGGTTTTTGTAAGCTGACTGAGGCTGGGTGCAACAAGTCTGACCATGTCTGCAGTATGGGTTGAACAAAGCTGAGCTTACACAAAGCCTGTCTGACCAAAGACTGCACTGCGTTTATACAATCTCTTAGTATCTGTGGTGAACATGTGGAATAACGCTCCAGAAAGTAACCCACATCATCCTCTAATAACCACACCAGGGACTCTACCTGGTCTGCACTAAATGGTGGCAAAAATTCATCCCTGCATTCGGGGAAACCAGATGAAACCAACTCAACACAAACCTTAATCAATGGCTGCACCATAGAGAAATCTGTGCCCTGATCTACTAGAACATGAGCGAGTCGTATACATTCTAGCAGTTCATCCCGGGGATACTCCTTCAGAGTCTGATAAGCATATTTTCTGTCATCAAGCACTAGCAGAGATAAATACTCAACCTCATCCAGATCCATCCTTCCCAGCAACAAGCCAAGATGGCTTCCCTGTGCAGCCACTTCTGGTCAGGATTGGCCTTGGTGTAATGTCAGGGCTCCCAGGTGTGACCAGAGGTGTGTGACTGACGCAGGGAAACGCAGACTTCAGATATGTGATAAACAATATAATTTATTAACACTAACCATACAAACATAAACGCAGTGCAATACTAAAACATAATACAGTGCAAACAAACCAAACCAACCACCCACAGATAACAGTACATACAAGCAAGCGTCGTCAGGCAGGCCGGGTCAATATCAATAGGGCAGGTAGGTACAGGGGGAGCAAGCGGAGATGGGTCGGGGGTCACGGGCCAGGTTCAGCAGGTAGCTAGCAGCGTAGTACAGAGGGTCAGGCAGAGGGATGGTCAGGGTCACAAGCCAGGGATCAGAACAGGTAGCAAGCAGCGTGGTACAGAGGGTCAGGCAGAGGGATGGTCAGGAGCGAGCCGGGATCAGAGCAGGAGAAGTCAGCAGCGGTTCAGATCAGGCAGGGTCAGCAAAGGAACAGAAACAGGATGCAGGACAGATACAGGGCCCAGGACAAACACAACACCAAGGCAGAGTCTGCAGGTCTGGCCATCCCTTAAATACACCAGTATCATCAGTTCCAGGTGTTAGCTGGCTGAAAGGTTGAGTCTCTGATTGCTGGGAGCACCCGCTGGCCAGCCCTGGTACTGCAGATCAAAAGGCAGGTGAGTCCCACCATTGCTGGCCAGTCCATTCCTGACAGTTGCTCACTCGGCATGGAAACAGCTTTGAATGAATAGAAGGCATTCTTTTTTTGAATGAAGTGGAGATTGTAACGTCATCACACTGCCTCGCTCCACCTCATTCAATCAGAGAACACTTTGCATTCATTGAGAGGTATGGAATATGCATACTTACATTGGTCCAAGTTGGACCAGTGCAAGTATGCAAAAAAGAAAAAAAAAAAGATTAGTTTTAAGTGTTTTTATTTAAATCTGTCCTGGCTAACAGTGCAAACAGGTGAACCTATCACTCCTGATGGTTGTATTGTGACAACAGTACAAGCATGTAATTGGATGCATGTGATGTTCGGTGAACAATCTTCCTCCTGGCTCCTTCTGCATTTTTTTTTAATAATCAAAGAATATTGGGCTTAGTGGCGCAGACAGGGCCACCCACTGATTAAACATCTCTCAATGTATGTCCAGCTTTAGGAGTATAATGTAGAAAATTGATTTGTAGAAGTTGCAGTGTTTATATCTGCAAAGCTTGTAGCATTGACATGTGAAGATGGATAATTAGACCATTTAGGTCTGGCCATGTTGAGAGTTTTGTGTTTGTTAAAATGTAATTAGACCTAAAATGAATAAATGAAACACTGACAGGTAGGATATTATGACAGAAGAAACCCTACTGGTCATGTCTGTCACAAACCCTGCCTGTCAGCATTTATGTACACTGAGCAATGTATGTGCAGCTCAGTATACATTTACAGCATTGCTCTGTACCATGATGTGGCTTCCGTATGCATGTGCGGGAATGAAAAACAAAATGGTTCGAAAAGTCAGAAAGCAGAAGGAAGACCAGGAGTAGATGGCAGCGCTGACAGTTCTGCGTTGAAGAGGGGGATCGCTTGCCAGGTAAGTCTGCCATAATGTGCTTATATGCCATGCATATAGGGTCCCTCAAGGTTTCGTCCTTGGACCCCCACTCTTCTCCATCTAAACCTCCTCCCTTGGTCACTTGATAAACTCCCATGGCTCTAAGTACCATCTCTATGCTGATGACACACAAATCTATCTTTCTACTCTTCACCTCACCCCTTCAGTCTCTTCTCGCATTACTAACCTACTAAGCGACATATCAGCATGGATGTCACTCCACGGAAACTACTACTAGCAACTTCACTCCCTTGTTATCTCTCGCCTTGACTATTGTAACTCCCTCCTCCTTGGCCTACCTCATCGCAGGCTATCCCCTCTTCAGTTTATCATGAATGCTGCTGCCAGACTCATCCACCTTACTAACAATTCTGTATCAGCCACCCCTCTCTGCCAATCCCTCCACTGGCTTCCCATTGCCCAACAGATAAAGTTCAAAACATTAACAATAACATATAAAGCCATTTATAACTCTGCTCCAAATTACATCACCAATCTTGTCTCCAAATATCACCCAAACCGTACTCTCCGCTCCTCGTATGACCTCCTGCTCTCTAGCTCCCTTGTATCCTCTTCCCATGCTCATCTCAAAGACTTCTCCTGAGCTTCCCCCATCCTCTGGAACTCTCTACCCCAATTTATCAGACTATCGCCTACTCTGCTCACTTTTAGGCAATCTCTGAAAACCTATCTCTTAGGGAAGCCTATCCTGCCCTCAGCTAATAATGGAATCTTCTACTCCTCCTACCAGTCCATCCCCCACAGTTACTACCTTTTGTACCACTAGCCCCTCCCTCCTAGATTGTAAGCTCCAAGGAGCAGGGCCCTCCTAGCCCTCTCGTATTGAACTGTATTGTTGCTGTATTGTCTCCCTTTATATTGTAAAGCACTGAGGAAACTGTTGGCGTTATATAAATCCTGTATAATAATAATAATTATGGTTAAAAGCTTCCTGGACCCAATAAGAAAAAAAGAAAATTGGTGGAAGTTTAATTCCACGTGTGTGCGTGTATTTATATATATATTTAAAACCAGACTTAAATACTTTTATTTTTGTAATAGGACAAATGAATCGCCCAACGAGCTATAAAAGATATATATTTTTTTTATTATTCCTTAAAAAAACAAACAAAAAAACAACAACAAACCAAAAGACAACCCCCAGCATAATGGCATACAAGACCTTATAATAAAAATCACAATTAAGACATTGTTTTCTTACAAACATTTTCCTGTTTCTGCACTCAGGAAGGTTGCTTACACTCATTTTTCCAGCAGTGGCGGTGGGTTGCCCTTGTACTGAAGGGGTCTCACAATAGCACTGTCCACTTCAGTAACGCTAAACAAGGGCTTATTCACAACATGTCTGTTGAGTTGCATTTTACCGCACATCTCCACACATGTATGGTGTGTATAGAGGGCACCTTGAACACAATTGACCATACACCATATATGTGCAGTGTTTTGTAGTAAAATGCAGTTAAACGTACATGGTGTGAACAAGCTCTAAATCAGTGGTTCTCAACCTTTCTAATGCCGTGACCCTTTAATACAGTTCCTCATGTTGTGGTGACCCCCAACCATAACATTATTTACCCAGTAATTATAATTCATGAGTGTCATTTTACCTCCAATACTGCTGCTTTCAACACAGTAGCTGCTTTTAACAGAGTAGCTGCTTTCAACACAGCAGCTGCTTTCTACACAGTAGCTGCTCTTTACACATCGGAAATATGTGTTTTCTGATGGTCTTAGGGGACCCCTGTGAAAGGGTCGTTCGACCCCCGAAGGGGTCGCGACCCACAGGTTGAGAACCACTGCTCTAAATGATAAAAAATAAAAAAAAAAAAATCCGGCCTCCTCCTCCCCTTGTAGCTGGCAAGTCACGCTCCTTTTTTGCATGAAGTTAAAGTGCACTCTCTCAATCAACATGGACTACTGTATTTCTAATCCTTATGCTGCTAGCATTAGTAAGTAAATAGGAAAGTATATCATATTTGCTTGTTTTAACCTTTTTTTTTTTTTGCATTCCTGCAATAAATTCTTGGTTTCCATGCCTTAGCAAATGATGTCATACAACACCGGAGTCTTCGGGAAGGGAAGAGGGTACTCAGCTCAGCGAATACCTGAGTTAAGAACAGATGGATTCCAGGAAATAACTGCAACATGAATCATCTGTCCTTAGTCAGGATGGCCACTGCCAGAAATGCCAGAAGGTGTTTTTCAAAAAAGATTTCTCAGCAAAATAAAGTATGGAGACACGCATGGATGGAGAAGTATGTTTTGACTATTAAAAATTAATTGTATAGCATTTTGGTTTGTGGTGCTCACATGCAGTGCAGTTCCACTTTAAAGTGACACTAAACTCTGGTATAAAAATAACATTCT